ACGGCCAGGAATGGGGTAACGGATTGATCTTCCTCTCCCGGTAAGTTCCGTCAGTGTTTTCTGTCATCAGTCTTATGATTTTGTTTGCTTTTTAGCGATATCTGTTTTCTGTTACCTAACGTTTCACTAAGTTTGTCTTTTATGTACTATCTTAGTTCAGGAGGAGTAGGACGGGGAGCTGACGGCGAGTGAGGGGATAAACTGTGTGGTCTCCCTTGTCCTGGTAGGTCTCGTCAATTTCATTTTGTTTCTTCTTTTTCAAAACACTGACGTCCCCTGCTGGTTTTGGTTTGTGGGCAGGAGCATGAGCGGGCGAGGGGCGCGGAGCTCGGAGCGCCGAGGGGGGGGCGCGGGGAGAGAAGCCAGCCGCATCGCTGGAGCAAGGAGCTTGGGGCGCCCAGCTTGGGGCAACCAGCTGTGTACGGTAGCGGTTTGTAAGTGGGTCTGGGTCCTGGGTCCCTGGGTGGTTAGGAGCGTTAGGAGCGTTAGTCAGAACGGTAGGGGCGTTTGTCAGAACGTTAGGTTCGAATTAGGCTTAGCTAAGGAGTCGCGTTAGCCTTAGCTAGGCTCGAGTCTGGGTTACGGTCTAGTCTGGACCTAGGCTCGAATTAGCTAAGACGTTAGGCTCGGCTGGTCAGGTGTGGTTAGGCGTGGTTAGGTTCGGTTGGGCTTGTCTTTGACTTCTTGGCTGTCTTCCTCCCCACCTCGCGCTGGCCAACCTGGAGAAAACTCGAGGAGGTTGTGTTCGAGGTGTCGGTTTGTTTTTCTCTGCCCTATAAATAATTTGAACCATCCCTCCTTCCTTTCTGCCCAGTATAAAAGTTCCCTCCCTCCCCAAACAGGCCCCGTACGAATGACCACCACCTGTAGCGGCCAAGAAGGGTCAAAGAGAGAATGACTCCAGTGGCCAATAAGGTGATTCACCATCCCTCGCGTGGCCACGAATGACTCGAGTGGCCACCAAATTTGGTGATAATGACTCGAGTGGCCACGCCAGGGGATTCTAGCTGCCTTTTTTTTCTTTGGCGCATTACCCTACGGGGCTTTGTAGCCCTGAAATTCCCCATTCGTGCGAGGGTTATCCTTAGGTAGTGTACATAACCATTGACCACCCGAAATTTTCGCCAGAGTGGCGGGCGCGAACGTGGCCCGCCCACTGTACAAGAAACCGACAAATTCCGAACAATAGTGTTTGCGCGACCAATTTCGAGCTAATGCGCGACCAAATTCCAAACCAATCAGCGATCGAGCATATTGCACCGCGATCATATACTTCTATTGACCCGAAACTTGCTGTCACAGAAAAAACGACCACGCATGATTGGTCAAGATTTATGCGCGGTGCTATTGTGGCCATTGCGCATCCAATCAAGCACAATCATTAAGGTTTGGCGATCATATTGTTATCTAGATTAACGGCAAAACGAAACTCAAGACAGTAGCCACGACGTACCTAATATACTTAGGGAGAATAAACTTTTGGATTTTCTGTTTAGGTTTTATAATCTCACTAAGCATCATCAAAAATGCGCGCACATAAAGGTTATTGCGCGACCTTATATAATATATGACTGCGCCTTTGTTTGGACGTTCTTTGATTGGACGCGCAATGTCTGGTCATATCCTGCGAACAAGACAAACCAATCACGCGCGGTCATCTGATTTCTCGCGAACCGACGGCCGATCATTTCGGTATATGGTCGGGAACTATACGATGGCACCTGATTGGACGCGCATATCTCCTGACCAATCGATCGCAGTCGTTTTTGCAGTGTCGGTTCAATTCGGGTCAATTGCAGTATATGATCGCGAAGTCATAAGCTCGTTCGCTGATTGGATGTGAATTATATTGACCGCATGCTCATTTGTCGAGCATTTGGCCGAAAATGACCGGTCAATGCACAGTTGATCAATGTACAGTGAGCGGGCCACTTTCGCGTCCGTGAGCCTGGCGAAAGTTTCGGGTGCGAAACAGAACGGAACACTACCTAAGGATAACCCTCGCACGAATGGGGAATTTCGGGGCTACAAAGCCCCGTAGGGTAATGCGCCGAAGAAAAAAAAGGCAGCTAGAATCCCCTGGCGTGGCCACTCGAGTCATTATCACCAAATTTGGTGGCCATTAGAGGGGCCAACATCATAGACATGCAAATTAGTCTGGTAACCCTATTCGATTGTATGCAAAACCGTCGTTACCTCAGTCTCGAAGGTAACGACAATTTGCTCTATTACTGCGTTTTTATTTAACAAACGTTTTGGCTTTTACCACGCTAGTTTTTGCGCGGAACTATAATTTCTTCAGACGACTGTTCTGCCAGATATGCACGACTGTTCAATACAAATGACCCAATAAAAATTTAAAGCCCAATCGGAAAGGGATGCGACTCGGAAAGGCATCAAACCTAAAAACAATGACATTTCTCGTGTTTAGGGTTGATCCCTCCCAGAAATGCGTCCAGTTCTCAAGGGGTTTAATCTTTTTTTTCTGCCTGCCCTAACAATTCCCGGTGGCGTCGTCAACAATATATCGTTATAAAATGGACCCGGTGTACTTTCATTTTAATGAAAATTCTTCGCAAAATGTATCGTGCACATTTGGCGGAAAGTAGTCGCCCGAAATAATTGGTTTTAGTCGCCCGAAATATTTGGTTTTAGTCGCATCCCTTTCCGATTGGGAATATTTTTTAATGGGTCAGTTGTAGTGAACAATCGTGTCAAAGCTAGCAGTAGTAGAAAGTTAGAAACAGGAAAGGGAGGTTTCACTAGCAGCAGTTTAGATACAAATAGCAAACCCTAGACGGGTTGTACTCGCTATAGAGCACCCCACTGCAGGCTAGAGAATATAACATTCTGACACACCCCCATAGCCAAAGTGGGGTGTAATCAGCACAACAAGCAGTCATAGCAGTAGTTCACAATTTATGAGCAAAGCTAGAGGCAGTCACAGAGGGCAAGTGAGGAGGAGGAGAGACTGTGAGAGGAGAGAAGATGGGAGGCGACGGCTGAAGCTACAGACACACGGGCAACAGGAGCGGCTGGCACAGTGGCTACCGGAACAGCGCCCCGGACTACAGGAGTAACTGGCTCCGCGGCTAACTCTGAGCGGCAGAAGCAACGGACCCACGGGCGACAGGCGCAGCAGGCTCTCTGGGCTACCAGGACAGCGCCCCGGACTACAGGTGCTGCGGACGACAAGACGGCAGACTCCGTTCAATCTCCCCAAACAGTCCCACCCCCCTTACACACACCCCTTGCTGCGCCCCTAGCTCCACTCCCCCTTCACCCCCCTGGAACCACTCCTTCGACTCCCCACACAACCACCCCCTTGAGCGGCAGCTGCAGCAGCGGGAGACGGAGGAGGAGGAGGAGGAGGAGCAGGGGACGGCGCACACACCCGTCACCCCCATAACCGCCACCCCCACACTCCCCACCCCCAAACCCTAAAACGGGCGGAACGGGGTAGGAGCGCGGGGGACGGCGAGGGGGAAGGCGCGCGGCCCCCAGGGCGCCACCATGGGGCAGCGAGGGGCCGCGCGCAGCCCCCCAGGGCGCCGCGACGGGGCAGGGGGGGGGTCGCGCACGGCTCCAGGGGCGGCTCGCGGGTCTCCGGGGGGCGACGCGAGGGTCGACGGGGATCGCGCGCGGGTCCCGCGGGGCGACGCGACCGTCGACGGGGCAGCGAGGGGTCGCGCGCGGCTCCCAAGGGCGGCGTGACGGGGTGGCGGGGCGACGCGACCACCGACGGGGCAGCAGGGGCTGCGCGCGGGTCCCCCAGGGCGCCGCAACGGACAGGGCGGGGGCGCGCGGGGGTCCCCCATGGTAGGAAACCGTCGCGCGCCTCGGGGCGCACGGCGGGCAGAAAACCGCCGCGCGCCCCGAGCGCACGGCGGGATGAAAACCCTAAAAAAATTTCGCCGGCAGGAAGGAGGCGTCGCGCGACCGAGGCGCGCGACAAGTAGAACAGCAGCGGAAGCATTAGGTGGTGGGCCCACCCACAGGATCGACCCAAGGGGGTCGACCTGCTCTGATAGCATGTCAAAGCTAGCAGTAGTAGAAAGTTATAAACAGGAAAGGGAGGTTTCACTAGCAGCAGTTGAGATACAAATAGCAAACCCTAGATGGGTTGTACTCGCTATAGAGCACCCCACTGCAGGCTAGAGAATATAACATTCTGACAAGTCGTGCATATCTGGCGGAACAGTCGTCTGAAGAAATTATAGTTCCTCGCAAACATCAGCGTGGTAAAAGCCAAGTTGTTTGTTAAATAAAACGCAGTTATAGAGCAACACGTAGTTAACTTTAAAACTGAGGTATCGACGGTTTTGCATACAACCGCATAGGGTTACCAGAATAATTTGCATGTCTATGATGTTGGCCCCCACTAGAGTCATTCGTGGCCACGCGAGGGATGGTGAATCACCTTATTGGCCACTGGAGTCATTCTCTCGGGGTCAAATCAAGAACCAAGAACGGCGCACAGCTGTGGATCTGCAGATACGGTGGTTGACACTTTGGGGTTCTGAGATGGTAAATTTTCTCTATATCTGTAAATATAAGTATCTCTGTTTGGTATAACTAAGTGACTGGTACTAATTCGCTTTGCATAGTAGACACATTCGCGAAGGAATGAAACGGAAAGAAACTTTTCTCAGGCAGTGCCGAAAACAAGCCATGGCCGAGTTCACATCTCAGCTGTACAGTATGGGCTTGAAAGCGACATTCGAGATCCACGATTATTGCTGCCAGTCACTGCTGCTGGCAGGAGTTACCGCTGTTGATCTCTTCTCAACCAACTTCACTTCTTGCCATTTCACAAGTCATATTCCCGCCTTTTCCTCTAAACTTTATTTTTTATTGTCGTTCCCATCTTTAGTACTTTGCCGTGGCTTGCATTGTCTTGTAAGGTCTACTGCGATACTACGCCGCTGCTTGTCCTTAAACATTTCTCATCGTGGCGAGTGAAGTTACAATTCTTCGTAGAATTAGCCTCGTCATGCGAGATGGGCCCGACTGGCGAGCCAACGTCTAAACTGTCAGAGAGAAAGAAGGACGCGCTGGCGCAGGCGGGAAGGCGGAAGGTATGTGGCCGTCGTTTGTATTACTCTTGCGTACCACGATATTCAACGGTTTTTCTCAAGCGCAATTTCTAGTTTATGTTTTAACTCTTACTTCCGACCTTTTCGCTCTGTTGCTTTTGAACGTTTTTTTCAAACTCGTCTGTCAGACTTCTCCCGCATTCCGCCTTTCCTTCCATTTCATGTCCTCTTCTCGTCCTCCATCTCTCACTCTCTCCTTCTCTCTCTCCCGCCCCCACTGTCTTATTTTCGCGAATCTCCACGCAGCTTGAGGAGTTTAGGCAGCGGAAACGAGCCGCTGTGGCGTGTACAGGGGCAGGAGCCAATGGTATGCAGCAAGAAGACGGGACACGTGATCGGGTGTGCAGACAAGCAACTACTTCCAGGCGTGTGGCTGGGAATCAACACGCGAACAAGAAGGATATTGGGCTCGCAGAACAATCATGCGATCGGTGCTGGGGTGCAGGAGATAGACCAACGCAGGAGAACATAGTGCTTTCGAGGAGCAGTAGTGCTGCAACCAGTGTTAGCAGCAGCGGTTTTGACCACGAGAGTTCATCTGGCGAGGCCTTTCCTGGCAACAAGAGTGTCGTGAGCACTTCTGCAGCAGATTCTCCAGGGAACGAAGCAGGTTTTGTTCGGATTGCTGGAACAGCTTCGTTTTCAGTAAAGAGAAACGGTTCCATGCTAGTGTGGCTACAGGCACTGGTGGAATGCTGGCCGTATTGTGGAGCTCAGGTGGCGAGGGAACCTCTGGCAGAGCAAAGGGGGTTGCAGGATGATTTGCACGGACGACTGATCTCAACTGGACAGGGGAGGTGCAACGAGGAGGACGTTTTCGAGCAAATGGATATGCTGTGGAGAAACAATTTGACGTAAGAGTTGGGTAATGATCCAATTTCTAAATTACACATATATATTTATATAGGCATATATACCGTATGAGCTTGATGTAGCATGATTTATCTAGTGCAAAGCATGGGTACACCGTACCCAGCTATGGCGAAAATGTGTGGTGCCCTGTATGTCAGGCGAATCAGGTCATCCCGCCAATCGGAAAGACCACAGATTCAGCAGTTTTGGGCTGACTGTTGTCTCAAGCCCCTCACAACCACAATATATGCTGCGGAAGTCTGGTTCGGCCAGGTTTGGCATGGAGGTTGGCGGTAACCTTTAGGCCTACAGTTCATTCATCGTGGTTCAGGACGGTTCCAGACGGTGCGATGCGAACATAAAAATTCACCGTTCTGCACCGCGACGCAAACAAAATAGATCGCACAGAATGAACGAGAGACCAAGATGCATCCCCTTGCCTCCTGGCAGAGAGGCACTTGAGCAACCTCCTCCCAAACCTAGTCAAGGGCTCCTCCCAAACGAAAGAGCCATTTCTCACCGCACTTCACAGAAAGCCTGATCCATTCGCTCGCAACAACCATGAATCGCTGAAAGCCTTGATCTCATCTTGCCTTGCACCCACAGCCCACGTCGCTGGCAAGGTTATCGCGAGCTTGATCCTTGCATCATTATTGGTTATAATTGTTGCTTGAGCGTGTCTGCTTTAGGCTTAGGCCGCCATGCTCCCTCTTATATCGTTCTCGTGGGACATTCCACGTGACAGCGTTCATTGATGTGATAATCTCCTTTCTGCAGCCCCTCACTGCATAGCTACTGGCTCCTCTCCGCACAGTTATTTGATTACTCGCTTGATTTCTTACCAGCGATCCTGGCGGTAGTCATGGCTGACGTAGCAGCTAAGCCGGCTTCTGCTGGCGCTAAGAAGAACGAATTAGCTCAAGCAGGTCGAAGAAAAGTACGTTATTCCTCATTGCGATGCAATGTTGGTCCTGCTTTTCCCCTATGCTTACTCAAGATTTGGTCGCCAATGCTTTGCGAACACGTAAATGTACAACTCCTTTTTTTCATGTGATTTTCCCGGTTTTGTTTTCCAAAATCGTTCTAAGAATCCTTTTCGTATCCCGTCCTGCCTGATTTCACCTGAATTTCTGCAGCTCGAGGAGTTTCGCAAGAAGAAAGCGGCAGCGGCAGCAGCGGGCGGGTCTGCGTCTTCCCGAACAGCGACCTCCTCCGCAGCTAAACCAGCAGCCAAGCCCATCTCCGCGTGGAATCCGCCTCCGCCTCAGCAGCCGGTGCCACCTCGCGCCACAGCCGCTGCTCCTCCCGCTATAGGCCCACCCGCGTTTCAATCACATCCGAATTCCTTCGCTCCGCCCTCTCTAACACGGCCGTCAGCGCAGCCTGGCTTAGCCCAAGCTCCCGCAGCCCTACCCACGTTTAGATCCGCCAACTTTGGATCTCCTCTCACTCCCTTCTGGCAGCAATCTCAGCCGTCCATTTCAGCCGCTAACGGCCTCCCTCATCCTCCGGGGCCCCCAGTTTCGGACGCAGCCAATGCCGCTGCTCCACCTGTACCGTCGTCTGGATATCCCGCCGCGTCCACAAGGCCGGCAGCGGGGATGCAGCCGCTCCCGTTCGCGGCGAAGGGACCTCTGGTAACTTTCGCGAAACCTAGCGGGGTTACAGGTCCCGGCCCCGGTGCAGCTCCCCCCGCTTCCGCGCTTTTTTCCGGACCTAGGGCTCCCGTGCAACCTTCCCTCGCGCGGACGTTTTCCCCCCCGCGCGAGCCTTCTTTTCCCGCGCAACCCGCTTCCCGATCCGGCCTTGCGCCAGCCCCGCGCGTTGCGCCTCCGCTCGCGCGCACCTTTTCCCCACCCGCGGAAGCGTCTCAAGCGCAGAAGTCCGCCGGTGCGCCTCCGCCTGCCTTCCTAGGCGCGCCAAGCCACGCACTTTCCGCCACCGCAGCCGCTGCGCCTAGCCCCGCAAAGCCTTCCCTCCTCCGCCCCGCGCCTGATGCGCAGCCCTCCCGCGCATCCCCTCCGCCACCCGCCTTCTCCGCGCCCCCGCCAGTGAAGGTCGGGGGAGGCGCGGACGGCGCACGACCCCGTCCGGATTGGATGGGGGGAGGCTCAAGTCAAGGCAAAGGGATGGGCCCGCTTTGGGGGTTACAGGGTAGTAACACTGGCGGCATCAGTGGTAGCGGAACCAGCAGCAGCAGTAGCGGAACCAGCAGCAACAGTAGCGGCAGCAGTAGAGGTAGCAGCAGTAGCACCAGCAGCAGTAGCAGAAGTAGCGGGAACAGCAACGATACGGTTCCATTCTCATCCTTGGCCGCTCCTCCCGCGGCATCCGCAAGCTCGTCTACCCCTCACTCTGCAGCCGCACCTGCCGCCGCAATAAGCGCTGGTAGCAGCACGGACAAGAGGGGTGGGAGGGCGGAGGGAGATGCAGGGTTACAGAGCAGCGATGGGCGGAAGGATAAGGAGGAGACTGAGGGGATTACGCGTGTACGCACAGCAGGGGGGGAAGCAGCAGGGCTTGGATCAGGGTCGGAACGTGGTATTAGGGTAAGAGACAGTGGCAGACAAGGGAGAGATGCAGAACCAATCGTGGGAGGGAGCGAATCCTTGCAAACGCGCATGGGAGGGTATGGAGGGGGGAGGGAGAGAGAGGACGATGCAGACGCTGAGAGCTTCTTTGATTCTCTCTCTCCCGCCGTTTCCAATCAAAGCCCGGTTGCCTTGACAGCCTCCTCTCGCCCTGCAACAGATGAGGGGACTGTACTGCCTGCTTCGGCATCCCCTGCTTCTGCTGGGACTGATGGTGCCCCTGCTGGTGCGTCTGGTGCTTCTGCTAATGCTTCTGCTGCTGCTTCTGCCGACACCCCTGCTGGTGATGCGGTTTCAGCCTCTGTAGCCCATACACCCAGCCTGGGCCCCACTATCCCCGCTATAAGGGACTCGTTACAAGAGCAGGACCTGCTCGCCTATGAGGTGCTGTCACCTGCCGATAGCGAAACCAGGCTGCAGCAGGGTCGAGCGGCAGAAGATTCAAAGGAAGCGGAGAACGAGGCGCACAGGAAGGTTACAGAGGATTCGCCTCCGATTGCGGAGTTAGGGAAAACATCAGACAACGTTGGCGCTCCGGGTGGTGCTTCTGACGCTGCTGAATCATCTGACCCATCCACTCCCTCATCCAGCTCCGCTTCTACCCCCCATGACTCCCTTCAAAGCTTATCTTCCTCTGCTCCGCCTTTCTCTGCTCCTCCTTCTGCCTCCTCCCTTCCTCCCCCCCCTGTTCTACCTGCCTTCTTCACTCCATCAGCACCTTCAGCAGCAGCCCCCAGGCCGATGGGGAAGCCTGCTCGCGCGTCCTTCCTCCCTTCCGCCTACACCTCCGCTCTTCCCTCCTCCTCCGCTGCCTCCCCTTCCCCCTCTCTCTTCGTCCCCTCCCGCGCGCCCCACCTCTCCGCCCCAGCTCCAGCTATAGCGGATATAAACTCCCCCGTTGCCTCTCTGGTGACGTCAGTCGCAGCCCCCACGAGCCAGTCCCCTGCTGCCACGCGTCAAGAGGATAGTGGCGATTCAAAAGCGGGTTCGAGTCCTGACTTTTCGTCTACTGCCCCTGCCGCAGATGGTTCTGAGTCGCTGCGTTTTGCAGCGTCTAGAGGCGCGGATACAGCTCAAGCGAGTGCTCTCCCTGCTACCCCTCCATCAGCTTCAGAGTCAGCTTCTGTGCACAGCCAGAAGGAAGGCACCAACGAGCCTTCACAGGGCAATGGCGACGCCTTGGTTGGTCCTGAGCCGGTTTCAACTAAGGCGCTGCCACAAGAGGAGTCTTCCGTTGCTGAGAAGCTGAAATCGCCTGAGAGGCCTAAGGGTTCGGCCTTTGCGCGTCTGTTCTCCGCTGCTCTTTCCCCGGCCCGGGGAATGATGAGGGGCGACGGCGGCAGGGGCAGAGGGAGTGGGAGTGACGCTAGGGTTTCGGAGGGTGAGGAGCTGGGGCGACAAGGAGGGTCTCTGGAGGGGTTGAGAGAGGTGGAGACGGATAATCAGGGAGCTGTATCAGAGAGTGTGGAGGGAGGAGGGGACGGCAGAGCAGCGGGAGCAGCAGACGGGGTAGGGGTTCCTAGCCAGGAGGCAGTGAGCGACGTGCAGGGAATGGTTGAGACGCAAGGGAAGGTTCATACTGAGAATGAAGCGGGCTGGCATAAGCAGGAGCTAGAGGGGCGTGAGCCTGCGAAGGGTGGTGATTTGCGGGGGCAGGAAGCAGGGGAGGGGGCGCAGGAGCGAGCGGGAGCAGCGGAAAGCGGGCAAGAGGGCGAGAAAAAGGAGGAGGGAGAGGTGGGTGGCGGGGGTGCGTATGGTGAGGAGAGTGACGAGGTGGGTGGGAGGAAGAACGAGGTCCAGAAAGGGGCGGATGGGGGCCGTGACGGTTCATCCCGCCGCCGACCTAAGTCTATCTCTTCTTGGTGGAATATCATCGCCCCTGCTCCCAAATCAGAGGACAGGGCAGGAACGGCGAAGGGGGCGGAGGCTGGGAGTAGAGAGGTGCAGGAGGGAGAGGAGGGAGAGGAGGATGACGACTGGGGCGTGGGGCTTTTGGGTGGCAAGGGGAACTTGGGAGGGCAGGGTCTAGGGGGAGGAAAGAGCCTGTCAGCCTCGGATTTGATCAATGTGGGGCAGGCTGTGAAGGGGGCGGGTGATGGGACGATGGGGGGTGATATGAAGATGGGGGTTGATGAGGTGCCTGCTGGTAGGTGGCAGTCGTGGGGTGATAGAGGGCAAAGCCAAGGCGTGCATGGCGGGCAGCAGGCGAAAGGTCTGCAAGGGAGGGAGTGGGAGGAGCGGGAGGAGAAGCAGGTGAAGGATTCGGGTGTGAAGGGGGAGGCGGTATCTGGGGCAAAGGGGGAGGTGGTATCTGGGGCGGGTGCAGCGAGAGCGGAGGAGAAAGAGGAGGGGCGCAAGCAGGAGTCGAGGGGAGGGTTCTCAAGGCCCTCGTGGTTGAGAGGGCTGAGGAAGCTTGCCTCTGCTGCCACCACTCCCTCTGCCTCCCCTCAAAAAGTCTTCCCATCCCCTGACCTAGATCCCTCCTCCACTTCCTCCTCTTCCTCATCCACTACCTCTTCCTCCTCCTCTTCTTTCTCCTCCTCCAGCACAGGCACGGTTACCAGTGTTACCACCTCCTCATCTCCCTCCCTCTTCGACTCGCCTCTCAAGCCAGCTGCTCAGAAGGAACTCACCTTCCCTCGCCTCACCCCTTCCTCGCACCAACCCAGCCTTACTGACTCCCCCACCAAATCCTCCTCTCTCACCTCTCTCCTTCCCAAACATTCCTCTGAAGAGCCTCACCAGCCCTCCTCCTCCCTCGCCTCTGCATCCTCGCTCCCTGTTTCTTCCTCCGCCCTTTCCCTTGACTCCCCTCGCAAAGAATCGTCCTTGAATAATCTCAACGACTCGCCTCCTCGTGCCTCCACTATTCGCTCCTCCTCTCCCTTTCTCCCTTCCACCACTGCCACTCCCTCCTCCTCTCTCTTCGACTCTCCTCCTCCTCCCACAAAGCCTCTGCCATCTTCTCTCTTTCCCTCCTCTGCAGCCACGCTCTCCTCCCTTTCCTCTCTACCCTACAGCTCCCCCACCCTCTCCTCCTCCTCCCACTCCTCTTACTCCTACCCCTCCTCTCTCTCTTCACTCTCCTCCTTCCCTACGCTCTCTTCTTCTAAAGATGTCCTTAGTGGTGCGCTAGGAGGAGGAACAACTACGAAGGACCCTCTTTCAGGAGCCTTAGGCAGTTCCAAAGACGTATTAGCTGGCGCTTTGGGTGGCAGCAAAGCCACGTCGGCTGCAACTGCCTTCTCCTCTTCGTCTATTTTGGGAAAGTATTCCTTTTCGGGTGCAGCAGGGGTATCAGGGCTGGGGTCTTCAGCTGATATAGATGCAAAGCTTGGGGCGGCATTGGGACTTAGAACGACAACTGCCACAGCCTTGAGTAGTACCAACAGTACCCTATCCTCCTCCTCTTCCTCCGCCTTCTCCTCCTCTTCCTTCGCCTTCTCCTCCTCCTACTCCTCCTTCTCCACCTTCTCCTCCCCGTCCCCTTCCTTGTCTATTCCCTCGCAAGCTGCTGCTAGGCCGTCCATAGCAGCAGCTTACCGCCCCTCCTTCCTCCCACCTCCGACCTCTGCCACAGGCAGCCAGTCATCCTCGTTATCAGCTGGCTCGTTAACAGCAGCATCACAGCCATTCTCGTCCTCTCTAGCAGCACCTGGCAGCGCAGCTACAGCCGAACAAATGGCGAAACTGCGTAGTGAATTAGGGTTTCTGCCGCCCGCCCCTGCCCTCCCATCTTCTCTGCAATCCCGCCTGGGCCAACCTTCCCAAGACTCCGTGCCTCTCCCATCCAGACCACCAATGACAGACTTACCTTTCTCCGGACCTGTCAGTTCGTTGTTTTCCAAACCTGCTGCCTCGGCCGAGCCTGGAAAGCCGAATCTGTCGGACGACCAGAGCAGAGGCATGGGATATGGAAACCGAATGGAGGGGCAGGAAGGGCGGGAGGAAGGAGGGGGTAGTTGGGAGAGAGAGGGGGCTAACGAGGAGATGGAGGAAAGTTCCGGGAAGGAAGAGGAGGGAGGGAGGAGTGGGGATGAGAAGACGAGGGAGACGGAGAGGATGAGAGAGAGGATGGAGGGAGGGGACCAGTCCTCCAAGGGTGCTGCATCGAGCGACTTTGCTTCTCTTGAACAGGTAATTTTGGGTGGGATTGGAACGGAGGCTCAGGTTAGAGCATCATCAGGTAAGCATGCTCATCTGTTCTGCCTCCCTACTTTAGCCGGCCTTCCATCCCTTCCTGGCAAAAGTCAAGTCAGTGCATTGGAGAATGTGATTTGTGACAAGTCAGTTCTTGTGACAAATTACTGACTTGTAACTCTCCTCGCCTCACCCTCCTCTCCTGCCCACACACCCCCCCAACCCCCCCCTCCCCTCCTCTCCTCCTTCCTCCCCCCCTCCTCTTTCTCCCCCTGTGGACACACACAGTATATAGAGGAGCTCACAGAGGAGAAGTTCACACTGCATCTGAGTTTCTTCACCTCACTCTCCTCTCCTGCCCACGCGCACACCCCCCCATTCCCTCCCTCTGCACACACAGAGTACATAGAGGGGCTGACAGAGGAGAAGTTCACACTGCAGCGGCAGCTGGATGCAGCTCGAATGGTGGCTCAGATGGTGGCTGAGTCCTTTTCTGCCTTCCCCGTTCACTCCGCCCCCTCTCTCCCTACAGTACATAGAGGAGCTGACAGAGGAGAAGTTCACACTGCAGCGGCAGCTGGATGCAGCTCGAATGGTAGCTGAATCCCTGGCGAAAGAGAATTCTGCGCTTACAGATGACTTTAACAGACAGGTGAGGTGATGTGAGGGAGAGGTGGGCGGAAGGAAAGGACTTGGCAAATGGGGTGCAGCATCTGGATGCGGCTTGAATGGTGGCTGAGTCCGTGGCCAAAGGGAACTCTGCGCATATTGACGACTTGAATCAACAGGTGAGATGATGAGATGGGGAGAAGGGAAAGTAGGGTGAGGGGTGAGAGAGGAAGAGGGGGTGGTGGAGAAAGGGGGGAGGTGGCTTGTGGGGGCGGCTGGAAAAGTGACGCATAAGGGCTTGAACGAAAAAGGATTATCCGTTTGATGTGTATTTTGTGGCCAATCATGTGTTCATTGAACTTCGAACTCTGCTCTCACTTCCCTTTCTTTTCTTCCCCCCTCTCTCTGCCGTTTCTTTCTCAGGCGAAGGGGTTGGAGCAGATGAGGGAGGAGATTTCGAAACTCAAGGCTGAGGTGAAGGCGCAGAAGGTGAGAGACACACAGGGTGATGTGATGTGGTGTGGAGGAGGGAAAGGTGGGTGTGCAGGGGAGTTGGGCTGGGTGTGTATGGAAGCGTGGGTTTGGGAGGGGGGTAGAGGGCACTGGAGGTCGTTTTTGAGGCGCCTCAAAAACGACCTCAATGTATGGAAGCGTGGGTTTGGGAGGGGGGTAGAGGGCACTGGAGGTTGTGGGGGAGGAGGTGGCAAGGGCATATGAAAGGGACATCTGAATTCAAGTGCTGCTTATTTGAGTGAAACATCTTGTCTTACTTGGCTTTTGTTCCCCCAACCCCTTCCCACTTCTCCTCTCTTCCAATTCCTACCCCCTGCAGGTGGTGGAATCACAGGTAGTAGGCAAGGAGGCAGCTTACAACACTATCTGCCATCGAGCGATCACAAGCATTGCTGTGTCTCGCCTGCCCCCCCTCTACTTCCCCCCTTACAGGTGGTGATGGAGTCGCAAGCAGTGTCGAAAGAGGCAGCTCACCACGAGTCTCTAGCTGCTATCGAGCGATCGCAAGCTCTGGCAGCCGAGGTGGTGGCGCTGGAGGAGCGGGTGCTGCGACTGCGATCGAATGAGCTCAAGCTGGAGCGACAGGCGGAGGGGCTGCAAGCAGAGGCAGAGGCACAGCGGTGAGTGGCGTGGGTAGATGTCATGTTCTTCTTGAGTTTTTAGCAGCAGAGGTGGTGGCTCTCTGGAGGAGAGGGTGCTGCGGATGAGATCGAATGAGCTGAAGCTGGAAAGACAGGCGGAGGGGCTGCAAGCAGAGGCGGAGGCACAGCGGTGAGTGAGTGTGTGATTGGTTGCTTGTCATGTTCGCACGCTCAGACTCAGTTGAACGTTAGAGGTGGTGGCACTGGGGGAGCGGGTGCTGCGACTGAGGTCAAATGAGCTGAAGCTGGGGAGACAGGCGGAGGGGCGGCCATTCACATCCCATTCAATTCACATGCCATTCACATCCCATCCCCATGCCATTCACACGCCGTTCGCTTGCCATGTCACCCCCACGACACAGGCGTGCTGCATCAACCTTTGAGGCGGAGAGGAAGGAGCTCCGTGCCGCTGTGGATAAGCTCAACGAAGGTGGGTGTGGTGCAGTGTGGTGCGGTGCGGTGCAATGTGGTATGTTTCTTGCCACGTTACTTGATTAATGTTTTTTTAAATCAGTGCCATGTCCCACCAAATGACATGTCATCACATCCTCCACGTGGCCTTACAGAGAAGCGTCAGCTCAAGGTGCAGCTGAGGAGGGCGACAGTGGGCGGCGCACTCGGCGACATGTGGCGGGGCGACAGCACGTCCACGTCAGCAGCAGCGCCAGCTGTACCGTCCGTGAGCCAATCAACGTCAACGGATGAGCTGGATGCAGCCTTTCTGAGCCAAGCAGGGCCGTCTGCCGAGGCAGGAGCGTCAGGCTCGGCATCTGTTCCTGCCGAGGCAGTCGCAGCAGGCTCGAGCACCGAACCAGCCAGTGGAGGCTCAGCAGGGGTAGTAAGGGATGACGAAGGCTCGGCCGGACCTGCTGTGGAGGGCGAGGGAGCAGGAGAGCAGGGGAGGAGGAGAGAGGAAGAGGGGGAGACGTTAGGGGAAGCTGGAAGAAGAGCAGTGGAAGAGGTTCGGGCACTGTTCACGCGAATGGAAGGTGACGGGCGGCATAATTTGGAAGAAGTGGGGGAGCAGCTGGTGAGAATGATTACTGCTGCTGTTGAGGCGGCAGAGGAAGGTGCGGCTGCTGCTGCTGGTGGGAGGAGAGGGAGAGGAAGCAGGGATAGGAAGGCAGGAGAAGGGGAAATCCAGGAATTGGAGGAAGACGAGGAGGAAGGAGTGGTGGATGAGTTTTTGTTGCTGCCCGCTCTGCTGCCCGGATCTGTGGATGTGCTATCAGAGGAAGAGCAGAGGAGTATGGAGAGCATTAATGCACTGCTGGCAGAGGTAATGGGGGGAGAGGGGTGGTGGGGATGAGAGGGAAAGAGAGGGGTGGTGGGGATGAGAGAGAAGGGTGGTGGAGATGAGAGAGAAGGGTGGTGGAGATGAGAGAGAAGGGTGGTTGAGATGAGAGAGAAGGGTGGTGGAGATGAGAGAGAAGGGTGGTGGAGATGAGAGGGTGAAATATGATCTGGGAGTTGGAGGAATAAGGTGAAGGAGGGATTGATTTAAGCTGTCTTCTGATTGAACACCCAGTTTGCTCCTGATTCCGCGCCAGTGTGCAAGAAAGGCGTTGTTCAGCGTTTCCCTGTCATCTCACGAAGTTATAGTCCTATCGTCCTGCATGCAGCTTCCTTCTTGCTTCCTAATACCATCACCGACCCCACGCTCCCTGCATTTTCCATCCACCAATCAGATGCAAGCAGAGAGGGAGCGGATGGCACGCACACTCATGGAGGAGGCTGCCACGTCAGCAGAGCTGCGGGTGAGTTGAGAGACATCCCATGCCTTGCCATGCCATGCCATCCCATTCCATCCCATGCCATCTCATGCCGCGTCCTAAAGCCAGCTGCCTGTTGACACATACCATGTGCCACATGCCAGTGTCTATGCTTGAGTCAACATACAACAACCACTTCATTCCATGATGCCTCCTGCCATGTACCACGTGTCTTGACTAGTCCAGCATCTCCTCCCTTGTCCTTCCTGCCACTTGCCAGTGAGTCGGTGACAGGTTGTCACACCCTTTACTGTCACACCTTCCACTATAACGTCCTATATTGTCACAGCAGATGGCAAACGAAAGCTAGCCACTCAGACGCAGCACATGGAGGTGCTGGTGGCTCAAACCTCACTGCACCCACTCACACCCCCTCACACCCTTTATTGCCGCACCCTCTACTGTCACAACAGGCGGCAAACGAGGAGCTATCACACAAGCTGGCGAGCCAGACGCAGCACATGGAGCTGCTGGTGGCTCAAACCGTCATGGCCGCTGCTTCCTCTGCCTCTCGATCCGCCTCGGGCGTTTTGAGCTCCCGCATGCCACGCGCCTCCTCCTCCTCGGCTGCTGCTGCTTCTGCTGCGATTGCACCTGCCCCTGGAGCTGGTGCATCCTCTGTACCCACTGATCCTGGAAATCCATCTTCTGCTGCTGCTGCGGCGGCTGCTGCTGCTGCTGGTGCTGCTGCTGGTGCTGGTGCTGCCTCTGATGCGGCTACTGCTGCCGGTGCTGCAACGACTGGCGCGGGTGCTGGCTCCAGTACTGGTCCTCATCTCCTCCCCCCTTCTTCCAGCATCCCTCCCGCCTTTCTCTCCCCAACTGCCAAATCACTCTCTGCGCCTCTGTTAAGCCAGGCAAACGGACAAGTGTCGCCGGCCGCTGCTGCTGCAGCCACTGCGCTGCTGGCAGGGGCGGGAAGGTTAAGTGAAGGCGGAGGCGGAGGGCCAGGGGGAGTGGGGTCGCCTCGAGCAGGAGGGGGACTGGGATCGCCACGCACACCAGGCGCATCGGGATACACGGAGTTCAATGATTACCTGGATGAAGGGGACGAGGTGAGTGCCTGTGTGTGTGGTGAGTGTGTATGTCCTTGGGGGGCGAGGGACAGAACTGGTGGGCTTGGGTTCTTCAAAGGAAGTGGGCTTAGAGTTTTAAGGGTTTCTGGTATACAGTTGAGTCGAGTGTCTCATTTGGTGAGGCTCTACGTCACTTGTTTGACTCAATGGACCCGCCTGTTCCTGATGCGTCTCCAGTGCTTGACATGCCCCGTGTGTGTTGTGCTCCCTCCCATTCCTGCCTAATATGATCCTCCATGTACTCTCTTGTGGTTCAGGTCGCTGAGAAGGTGCTTTCTTGGCTGCTGAGGGTATGGTCTCACCCCTGTTTAATCATATGCTTCCGTACTCTTCACCTCTTCTTTGCCATCCCTCCACCTCTCAGGTCGCTGAGGAGGTGCTCTCGTGGCTGCTGCGGCTCTTCCCTAGCGGTAGACGCAATGGGCAGCCTGTGCAATGACGGGAAAAGGGGGAGTGAGGAAGGGGGGGTGGAAGAAGAATCAGGTCAGGTTGGGACGGGATATGGGATGAGTGATGACTTTTGAGTTGACTCAAAAGCTGCAACGGACTATGCCGCAATGAGAAGGGGGGTGGGGAAGTGGAGGGGGGTCGGATACAGGTCATGCTGGAGTACGGTAAGTTCCTGAGAGGGGAAATACTATATGAAGGGGAAGGAGAGGCATCATGGGTGGGATTGAGATAATGAAAGTGATACAAGCTCACTGAGATGATGGCCGATTGAAGTGCATTTGATGTCGGGTTGTGCTTGAGTTGAGTAGGCATTGAATAGTTACAGTTACGCCAGATATGGCAGGAGTCCAGTCTATAAGGACAAAGAGGATTGGCAGCATGGCAGATGAATGCTCAGCAATAGTTGATGCTGCTAACTTGCTATATACAGTATGTGTTGCTGTAACCTTCTAGGTGATATTTTTTGCTGTTGTAACAGTTAAGCTCACTTGGTGAATGAGTGTTCCTTTAGGGCATTGTTTTTTTCTTACAGTATGCTGTACTGGCTAGTACGGTGGTTGCAGCCTTTAAAGGTACATGTGAAGTATGATCTATGGTTGCAACATAATTCCACTTTCTGCCAGTTACCTTAGTTACTTCCAACGTTACATAGGAAGAAGCTATCCAGCTTTACTGCTGCGCACAAGGGAAGGAGGAGGCAGCTGCATGCGTGAAGTTCAGTGTCCCATCCTGCTGTAGTGGCAATCAAAACTCAGATTTGAAGGTAGATTTTGAAGCACTGAGTCCTGATCAACCACAGATCTGTCAGTAAAGCCGCTTCTCTATCCCAAACTCTCTCTTCTGCAACGCTACACTAACCAACCCAACCCCCACTGCTACTGCGCGGGTGTAGTTGTAACAGACGACTTGGGCTTGACCCCGATCTTCTTCCACGAGACAGCTGGCATGATCTGATTGGGGTCGACACGGTCCTTGTAGATCACGGCAAAGTTGAGCAGAGAGTCGAGAAGAGCGTCGGACAGGAAGTGCGGCTGCAGCCCCAGCTCCAGCAGCTTGGTGCGCTTGGCGTTGTAGTAGTGCTCCTCAGCCTGGTGGGTGGAACAGAGGATAGAAGAGGGTTGAGAGGGGTGGAGAGGGGTAGAGAGGGATGCATGGGTGTGTGTGCAGATTGAGCAGAGAGTTGAGGAGAGAGTCGGACAGGAAGTGCGGCTGCAGCCCCAGCTCGAGCAGCTTGGTGCGCTTGGCGTTGTAGTAGTGCTCCTCCGCCTGGTTTAATGCAGGTAGGAAGGGGTTTAGAGGGGTAGAGAGGGATGCATGGGTTTGCAAGGTGAGCAACCAGTCCAGTTACATGTTGGACAGGAAGTGAGGCTGCAGGCCCAGCTCCAGCAGCTTGGTGCACTTGGCGTTGTAGTAGTGCTCCTCCGCCTGGTGGCAAAGGGAGTGTGGGAATGAATACAAGAGACTCAGGGATTCGTAAGTTCGAGTTGGGCAGTGTGTCAAACGTATGGGTATGTTAAAACGGGTGGACACAGGGAGGGGTGAACAGGGAGGTATGGGATGGGCGCGTTTTGAGTGGATGTGGAGAGAGTGAGGTGAAATGGAAGCAGTAGAACGCACAACTCTCAGCCCTACGATCGGTTTCACAAAAAAAATATGAAATGGAGTCGGCTGGGCACAAACCTTCCACCTCCCCAGAACGTCAGTCAAGCACAGACCTCCTGCAGATAACAAAAGCTCTCAGCCCACCTGTTGATCCCACATACCTCGACACGGGGGTTGGGCACGTTGATGGACTTCACTTCGATGCCCATCTTTTCCCCTGCAGCCGTCACCAGACGGGCCAAATCCCTCACTGAAAACTGCTCTGTGAACTGGTTGAACACGCGGAACTCGCCCAGCTTGGCAGGGTTGGCGATCGCGAGTTCAACACAACGCACCGTATCACGGATGTCCAAGTATCCGCGTGTCTGGGGGGAAAGTGGAGGGGAGAGAGGAGAGAAGTGCTGGTTGAACACGCGCCAGGTCCCGCACGGAGAACTGCTCTATGAACTGGTTGAACACACGGAACTCGCCCAGCTTGGCAGGGTTGGCGATTGCCAGCTCCACGGATGTCCAGGTACCCGCGGGTCTGGGGAGGTAAAAAAGGGACGGGTGGGAGGGATGGTAGGGGTTGAACACGCGGAGGAACTCGCCCAGCTTTGCAGGGTTGACAATCGCGAGTTCAACGCACCGTACAGTGTCCCGAATGTCCCGGTACCCGCGGGTCTGGGGGGGACAAGGGGGAAGGGGGAACGAATGGCAGAGATGCTGGTTGAAGGCGAGCAACTCGTCCAGCTGGCAGAGTCGAATATTCGGGCAAGGGTACAATGGAAAGGGGAGGGCGCGGAGAGGGGAGGGCAACGAGGGGGCTGGAGAAGGGGGAGCATACGGGAGCGAGATGTTGGTGGGAGGGGTTGGGGATGGGGTGTGGTGGGGGGGTTGGGGGTTGGGGGGATGTTGGTGTGTTGGTAAGGAGCATGTGGACAGTGGGTCGGTAGTACGCGGGGAAGGGGCACTGTATTACCGTATCCTAAACTCTGACCATACCATATGCACCCAAGTTGTCATCATTGCGCTGCAACACGACCCTAGAACAAACTCGATACGAAGCTCGAGGCTGCCGTGACTTATGAGGCGCCTCAAAACTCTTAAAGTGCTGTGGCTTTACATGTATAGAGAGACGGAAGCTCACGTATAATATGCTAGTCGGTCGGACTGGCTCAACTTGTCTACAGTCTGTCAGTCTGACTGCTTCATGGTCTTGCATCTGCGCGCCTCTCTAACTCGCCCTCCCTCAACCATCTATTTTGAGAATTCTCAAAAGTGATTCCCTTAGCCATCTATTCCAGACCGGACCTTCCTTCCCGATCCCTGTATTGTTTCCATTTCGTATGCGCGATGCGCGCGCACCCTTCTCCGTGTGCTCACATAGAGAGCGCGACTGTCTTAGTCTCCTCTTGCACCACATTCCACTCGTTTTTCCTCGTACATCGTCTCCCCACCTTTCCGTTCCACCCTCTCACGCGTCAGTCCACCCCATTCTTTCCCCGCGCCTCTAAATGAACTCCCTCACCTGTCCGCCCTTCCCGTAGATGGTCAACGGATGCCCAACGGCTGCCTGGACAACGAATCGGTTGAGAGCGGTACCAAACACCCCGTCGTAATCGAGGCGGTTGATGAGCATGACGTCTTTCTCCGTCTCGGGTGTCGCCACGCCGTACACCACGCCCTGGTTCAGGTCCGTCGCGCGCATGTTCCACGCCTTGCACGCGAACGCGATGTTGTGCGAATCGTGCACCTGTGGTAACACAGAAACCGTAACAATCGCGAGCGTAGTAAACGGTGGTGCATGTGTGTGACTTCGTAAACATCCAGTAAGGAGAATGTCCTACTGACATGGCTACAGACACATTTGCAGAGAGGTGTAGAACACCGCAACAAACTGTACGGTGCTGAGATGGTAGAAGGAACCGAGATTCTAGGCGCCTCAAAAATCACGACAGCGTACCTTGCTGAGATGGTAGAACGAGCTGGCCTGCTTCGGGTACGGCAGCGTGTTTGTTTAGTTGACTCAAAAACTCGAAACTCAAAACTTAATACAGCATCACGACAGCGTACCTTGCTGAGATGGTAGAACGAGCTGGCTTGCTTCGGGTACGGTAGCGTGTCCGTCCTGCCGTTGTGTGTGATTGTAATGAAGCCCTCCTCAATGTCAATGTTCGGCGTGCCGTACTCGCCCATGGTTCCCAGCTTCACCAGATGGCACTCGGGAGCGAATTCTTTAATCGCGAACATCACATTGATAGTACCGATGACGTTGTTATGCTGCGTGAACACGGCGCGGTTGCGATCGATCATGGAGTAAGGCGCCGACCGTTGCTCACCGAAGTGATGGCACCACGGCCGTCGGCTCGAACGTCTGGAACGCGTCTGCGAGGAATTCGAAGTCGCACACGTCGCCGATGTACAGTGCGATCGACTTCCCCGTGATCTCTCGCCAGCGTCGCACGCGATCGTGGATGGACGCGATCGGCGTGAGGGTCTGCGATCCGAGCTGCTCGTCGAACAATCGACGGCTGAGATTATCCACGATGGACACGTCATAGCCTTGCTCTGATAGGTGCAGCGCCGTCGCCCAGCCGCAGTACCCGTCTCCGCCAATCACCATCACGCGTCCCTTCGACGGCCCACCGCTGCTCTCGCTGCTGCTCTCAGGGGCCTGCGTGGAAGCTTCGGCCGTTGACGTGGCATACACGGAGGCGGATCGCCGGTATTTCCGAGGCAGGGAGCTCTTGATTTGACTGACGACGTGTTGAGCGAGCGGCGAAGGGGTGATGGATGGGAGAACGCGTGAGCCGGAAGCCGCGCATTTCAAGCCGGCCTTAGCGGAAGAAGCGGAGGAGGCCGAGGCGAGCGGACTCTGTAGTCTCGCGCTCGTTGCTGCGTGTAGCGACGCGATTGCTGGAGCGATAGACGCCATGGCTCCTCTGTTCAGTTCTGGGCTTTCCTCAGCAGGAGATGGGGCAGGCAATGCTCGACGCGATTCGAGAACGGAGGTGACAGGGACTATGCCTAAAGCTGTCACCTGAGCAGCCAAGCGTGAGAGAGGTACTAAAATGTGGGATTTATTTCTTTGGGGAAGCTAAATTACTTCCCAACATATGCCATGTGACGCGAGGGGCAAGCCGGGGAAAATCTGTTGAGCTGTTTGAGGGGAGGATGAGGCTGATGTGGATATGCCAGCTGGAGGGTGGATGTCACATCAAGCTGGTCCCTGATTGGTCTCTCACATTTTGGTGCGTTGAAGTGGAAAGAACAGGGAGAATCTCGTACTGAGCGTGCGCTTCCCTGTGTTTCCAGCTCTTCGAATATGCCTTTCCACGTGCCGTGCAAAGACGTTGCTGATTGCAATGACGTGGATTGCGGTTTCAACCTCGAAGTTACCAAGTACAGTTCCACTGGTTTGTGGAGCTTGTATTGGAACTGAAAGAAAACATATAAATATCGACTGTGAAAATCATGTATCTCACGGCAAATGGTTGTACTTGCAGAGAATCTTCCATAATGCGTACAATTTTCGCACAGCATTCCTTCAAAGCAGGACACTCCCTCCCACAATTACTCCATTTCCATGTGAGGTTCCGCTGAAACCTGTGCTGCAGCGACCTAAAATCTGCTCGGCTTTTCCCCATTTCTCATAGGGATCATCATTCCTTCGGAATTCGGCGTCATGGCCGCCAACGGCGAGCACAAATCGAAAGAAACCACCACCACCAGCACCTCACTCGCGGATTCGTGGTCCGATGGATTTCTCTGGCGCGGAAAGCAGACCCTCAAAGTTCCCGTTACCATGTTCAACGAGAATCGCCAGAAGCTCGCAGAGCGGATGCGAGCCAAGCTGCAAGACCGGGAAGAACATGCCGTCGTGCTCCTACAGGTGGGAAGAGCAGTAAAGATTTGGAACCTTTTCTATTGTTTTTCGGGTGAACGCAAACGCTGGAATTTCTGCGAGGAACCGCGTCTCTGCTAGTCTTTCCATACCCCACTGGCTACAGCCTACATGCTGAACCATGTTCTTGACATGAGTTTCCAGTTTTGATTCGCCTCAAAAGACAGGCTACAGCCTACATACTAACCCCTGTTCTTTGCTTGAGCTTCCATACTCATCACACTTCCCTCTCCATCGCTTCCCCCTCTTTGTCGCGTCTCCCTCTGCATGCAAGCAGGGCGGGGAGTCTCAGATGCGCCACTGCACGGACCACGAGGACGTCTTCAGGTGAGGCGAGGAGTAGCCTTGCCTGCTTGCATGGCGTGGAGAGGCTAGGTTTGGTAAGGTTAGACTTGACTGATCATACAAGATGAGTCTTAATTGCGCCACTGCACCGACCACGAGGACGTCTTTAGATGAGACTAGGTGTGGTAAGGTTTTGGTTGGCTTATCATACATCAGGAGAGCCTCTCTTCATTGGATTTACCGCACAGCATACGGAGCTTGTTAGGAAGGCTAGTGTTGGCCCTTGTGGCAGAAAACCACTCTACTACAGGAAGCAGTTGCTGGCTTGTTATGTCTGGAGCAGGTGTTTGTTCCCACTTCCAGCTGTGACTTGTTATCCCCCGTCTCCACGGTGTCAGATCCCTTTTTCCGTTGCCTCCGCCCATTTCCTGTTGCAACTCATGCCCCTTGTTTGGTTGACTTGGCATGGTGCATGGCATCGTATGACGACGTGGCATGGCATGGCATGGTATGGGCATGGTATGACGACATGGCATGGCATGGCATGGCATGGCATCACATGGCACAGGCAGGAGAGCTACTTCTCGTATCTCTTTGGGGTCATCGAGCCTGGATTCTATGGTGCTGTGGTATGTGTGTTGGTTGGTAGCCATGGTACCTGATTTCTGAGGCGTCTCAAACACATGTCTGCTTGTTTTTTTAGATGCCTAGAAAACGTCTCTCACCATGTCCTTTCTGCAGCACGTGCTACTGTAACCAGCTCTTGAGACGTGTCAAACGACATCCGCCCCCCTCTCCCCCTTCAACCCCACTCTCACCACTCTCACCATGTCCATTCTGCAGCACGTGTCAGTGCAGCCAGCGTGGTCGTTCCTCTTCATGCCTCACCTCCCAAACTCCCATGCTGTCTGGATTGGATGCACGTGTCAACGCTCCTCGCCCCACCCTGCCATACGACTCTTCTCTCCCCATTCACCCCCAACCCCCCCAACCTCCCATCCCTCAGGACGTGTCAGTGCAGCCGGCACGGTCGTTCCTCTTCATGCCTCACCTCCCGGACTCGTACGCTGTGTGGATGCACATGCCAATGCTGCTCACCTACTCCCTGCCATAAAAACAACTTCTGGACTCACCCCATTCACCTCATCCCATTCATCCCATTCACCCCTACTCCCCCCAACCCTCAGGACGTGTCAGTGCAGCCGGCACGGTCGTTCCTCTTCATGCCGCACCTCCCGGACTCCTATGCTGTGTGGATGGGTCCCCTGCACACGCAGCAACAGATCAAGGTATGACGGCCCCTCTGCACACTCCGCAGCACACAAGGCGTATCAGTACATTACAAGGCATATCAGTACATCACAAGGCGTATCAGTACATGACAAGGCGTATCAGTACATCACAAGGCGTATCAGTACATGACAAGGCGTATCAGTACATCACAAGGCGTATCAGTACATCACATCACTTGCAGATTAAGATCAGAAATCTTATTTCATCTCATCTCTGTGCGTTTTGCCTTGTGGTTTGGTGAGCAGGACAAGTATGGAGTGGACGAGGTGCACTATATCGAGGACATAACAGCAGTGCTGAAAGCAGCAGCAGGCAGTAGCGGCAGCTTGCCTACTCTGTTCCTTCTGCGAGGGATCAACACAGACAGCGGCAACTCCTGCAAGCCAGCCCACTTTGATGTGAGTTGGGTTTTGTTTGAAGGCACCTGACAGTTTTACGGAAGCCTTCTGACTCTCTTCCTCCTCAAGGGGATCAACACAGACAGCGGCAACTCCTGCAAGCCAGCCCACTTTGATGTGAGTTGGGTTTTGTTTGAAGGCACCTGACAGTTTTACGGAAGCCTTCTGACTCTCTTCCTCCTCAAGGGGATCAACACAGACAGCGGCAACTCCTGCAAGCCAGCCCACTTTGATGTGAGTTGGGTTTTGTTTGAAGGCACCTGACAGTTTTACGGAAGCCTTCTGACTCTCTTCCTCCTCAAGGGGATCAACACAGACAGCGGCAACTCCTGCAAGCCAGACCACTTTGACGTGAGTGGCGCACATGCTTTGAGGGTGCATACATTGAGGAGATTCGTGTGATGTGTTATGCTTTTAGTATGATACGGTGATACCCCTCTCCTCCCACGCCTGTCTGTCCCCACCCACCAGGGCATAGACGCCTTCCCCCAGGACCTTACCATCTTGCACCCGGAGTTGAGCGAGTGCCGTGTGATAAAATAGGGCAGATTCCTCTTTTCCGCTCATACACCCCACCCCATCTGCTTCCTCTCTCCTCCCATGTGTGTACCCACCACCAGGGCATGGACGCCTTCCCTCAGGACCTGACAGTGCTACACCCGGAGTTGAGCGAGTGCCGAGTGATTAAGTCTGAGGAGGAGATAAAAGTGATGTGTTCTTATCCATTAATTCCCTCTCTCTCCTCCTCTCCTCCCATGCGCGTCCCCTGTCCCCACCCACCAGGGCATAGACGCCTTCCCCCAGGACCTCACCATCTTACACCTGGAGTTGAGCGAGTGTCGTGTGATCAAATCACAGGAGGAGATTCGTGTGATGCGCTATGCTGCTGCTGTGTCGTCTGACGCTCATGTGGAGGTGGGTTCAGAAGGGTTCAGATGGGTGATAGAGCTAAAGAGGTGGTGGGGGGAGCGAGGGGGGGGGAGGAGGGGGGAGTGGGAAGTTATTTGTGATTGCATGCAACATGCAACATGCTTCTGCTGCTGCTGCTGCTGCTGCTGCTGCTGCTGCTGCTGCTGCTGCTGCTGCTGCTGCTGCTGCTGCTGCTGCTGCTGCTGCTGCTGCTGCTGCTGCTGCTGCTGCTGCTGCTGCTGCTGCTGCTGCTGCTGCTGCTGCTGCTGCAGCTGCTGCTGCTGTGGCAGCTGCTGCTGCTGTGGCAGCTGCTGCTGCTGTGGCAGCTTCGGCGGTGGTTGAACGGCCTGTGTCACCTCTCCTAGCTGTTTCTGGTGATGAGCAGAGTGAGAACCAGGGATAATGGAGTAAGGGATAAAATCGTATCTCCGTCACCATGCAGCTTTTTCACTGCACGCTGCGTTTTCAGGTTATGCGGCGAGTCAAGCCGGGTATGATGGATGGAGTATGAGATGGAGGCGGATTTCCTGCAGCATGAAAATGAACATAAAATGCACGTCGCTTTGCTCCCCATACCCCACTTCACGCCGCTGTTTCAGGTGATGCGGCGAGTCAAGCCAGGCATGATGGAATACGAAATGGAGGCGGATTTCCTTCACTTCACCATGCAAGAAAACATGAACGGCCTGTTTCATAGCACCCTGTCTGCCACCTCACTCTGCTATTTCATTCCAGGTGATGCGGAGGGTCAAGCCAGGCATGATGGAATACGAAATGGAGGCGGATTTCCTGCACCATGCAGCCGTGGCTGGGGGATGCCGTTTAGCCGGGTACACATGCGTGTGCGGCACGGGTCCCAACAGCAGCATTCTGCACTACGGCCATGCTGGTGCTCCTAATGACAGGGTGAGTGAGTGAGCTGCCCACCCATGCCATATAAGTTTAAGTTAAGCCTGACTGGTTTTTGAGAATTCTCAAAAATCACCGTTAAGAGCGTGCATAACCTTAGATTAATGCGTCTCGCTCTATTATCATGCGGGCGCTTCCATGGACAGAGTGAGAATGGCATGAACACGGTCGCTGCTAGACTTGGGCGCAGAGTATTTCACGATGTGTTTTGAGTCGACTCAAATCAGTACACACCCCTCGCTCTGTCCCCTCCGTTGTGCCATGCAGGAGTGCAGTGATGGGGACATGGCGCTTCTAGACATGGGCACAGAGTATTTCACATACGGCGCTGATATCACCTGCTCCCTGCTTATGTAGTGCTGAAATCACGTGCTCCTCCCCCCTGTATGGCGCTGACATTGCTGCCCCCTTGTGTGTATAATGCAGGAGTGCAGGAATGGGGACATGGCGCTTCTAGACATGGGCGCAGAGTATTTCACATACGGCGCTGACATCACATGCTCCTTCCCTGTATGGCTTACACATGCCTTCCCATGCCATGCCGTTCAGTCACTCCTTGCTTTTGTTTCTGCTATGCTTTCAGTCGTCCCACGCTGCTCGTTCTTTGGCTAACACATTGTGACGTTAATAAATAAATGAAAATAATAATAAAAATAAAAAAATTTTAACGACATTCAATCAAGTCTTTGTGACATTTTCGTGGCATTCGAGTCTTTGTAATAAAATCCATATTTTTTGTGACATTCAACTCATTGTGACACCTCTGTCGCTATTTCCCCCCCCCCCCCCTCCCCCCGTTTTCTTCATTCCAATCCACTTCTATCATCATTCCTTCCCATGCCACGTGTATTTAATATTACCGTGTGTATTGCCATGGCATCGCATCTCATGGAAGGTCAACGGCAAATTCACTTCAGACCAACGGCTGGTGTATGAGGTGAGGTCAATGCACCCACTCCGCACACCACCGCACACCACCACACACCACGCCACACCACCCGTCTTTAAACTTTCTACTCTCCCTCAGCCTTGTTCTCCCTGTTGCCTTTTGTTTCTTAACCTAATCCTTTCTAATTCCAATCTTCCTTCCCCCTTAAATCCTCCTCTGCCTGCAGCCCCTTTCAGAATCTAACTATAGATCCCAGAGGACTCGCGTTCGAGGTCTTGTTTACCTATTTTTGTCTTGTCCTGGTCTTGTTCCCTTTGTCCTGTTCGCATCCTTGAATCAACTGGCCATTCCCGTCCCGTACTCTTCCTTCCAACCTGTGCCTTGCTCGTCCCTTCCCTTCGCTCCTCCTGCATTTCGCTCCCGCCTGTGCAGGCGGTGTTGGCAGCACAGAGGGCGGTGTTTGCTGCAATGAAGCCGGGAGTCAGCTGGGTGGACATGCACAGGCGAGTTGAAGGGCCCCATTTGGGAGAACAATCCTCGAACTTACATCCCTTCTGTTCCAATTCTTGTTGTGAGACTCTTCATCATGTCCTTTTTTCCACTTGTTTTCACACTTTCCATTCATTCCATACTCCAACCCCCAATTCCTCCTTTCTCGCCCCCTGCTCATGCCACTTCATCTCGCTCCAATCACCCCTCCTCACCACCCTCCTCAGGTACCTCCTTTATCCCCCTCGTTCCCCTCTTCCCCCTCCTCCCCTCCATCCCACACACCAGGCTATCAGAGCGAACGATTCTGGAGCACCTCAGGTGCGGGGGGTCGCTGCCGGGGTGACTTTTGAGTCGACTTCAAAATCCCCTCCCTCACCCCCCCTCCCACACACCAGGCTATCAGAGCGAACGATTCTGGAGAACCTCAAAGGAGGGGGTTTGCTGCAGGGGTGAGTGTGATGGTGGTGGGAAAATTGGAACAGTGTTGGAGAATTGGCACAAGTTGGGGAGGTGACGCAAGGGGTATGAGGGCAGTAGAAGGAAGACTTGTTGCTGCAAGGGGTGCTTGATTTCAAATCTGGGCTACGGGTGGGGCCAATAAGGCACTGTAGCATCGCTTACGGCTTATGGGTATCTGTTCGACAAAACCCCCTGCAGGATCTCAGCCTCAAACGAAGCCCCCTTGCACCGCACCATACCGTCCCTGTGCAGGTCGATTGACGACATGATGGCACAGCACTTGGGAGCGCTGTTCATATTAGCCTAAAAGATTACTCCCTTGCACCGCAGCGTAGCTCATTACACCGCACCATTCAACCCCTGTGCAGGTCTATTGACGACATGATGGCACAGCACTTGGGAGCGCTGTTCATATTAGCCTAAAAGATTACTCCCTTGCACCGCAGCGTAGCTCATTACACCGCACCATTCAACCCCTGTGCAGGTCTATTGACGACATGATGGCACAGCACTTGGAAGCGCTGTTCATATTAGCCTAAAAGATTACTCCCTTGCACCGCAGCGTAGCTCATTACACCGCACCATTCAACCCCTGTGCAGGTCTATTGACGACATGATGGCACAGCACTTGGGAGCGCTGTTCATGCTGCATGGGCTGGGCCATTGTTTTTGCAGTGCCTCACGAACCAAAAACACCCTTACATGCACGGCACTATCCCTGTGCAGGTCGATTGACGACATGATGGCACAGCACCTGGGAGCGCTGTTCATGCCGCATGGGCTGGGGCACTTTCTTGGCATCGACACGCATGATGTTGGCGGCTACAACAATGTAAGAGGCCATTGCTAGAGCGCAGTGTGTATAGTTTATGAGCATCATTGTGTGTGCGTAGTGTGTGTGCATCCCACGGTCATGCCGCATGGACTGGGGCACTTCCTGGGCATTGACACACACGACGTTGGCGGGTACAACAATGTAAGGGCTCCACTTAATTCACGTGGGAATGATTTGTTGGACGTACCCAAATAAGCTGTTATAGCCAAGAAATCTATGTCTCTCCTATCCCGCTCCGCCCAAACCCACTCCACCCCACTCCCCCCCACCCCACTCCCCCGCACCCTGCTCCTTTCCTGCTCTCTTCCATCCCTCTCCCTCTCCACGTTAAACAACTCGCAGGCAGAGAGGTTGAATGAGCCAGGGGCCAAGTCTCTTCGCACAACAAGGCACTTGGAAGCTGGCATGGTATGGTGTGTTTCGGCACGGTAAAGCATGGTTTGTCACTCTACTGCATCGTACGGCATGGAATGCTATTGCACGGCATGTTTTGATATGGTACGGCATGGTACAGTGTGGTGCAGCGTGGTACATTTTGGTTTTGCATTGTACAGCATGATTTGACATTGCACCACACCATTTGGCATCTTATGGAGTGGTTCGGCATGGTACGACATGGTTTAGCATAGCAAGGTACGGCATGGTTTAGCATAGCAAGGTACGGCATGGTTTAGCACAGCAAGGTGTGTGTGGTTAGCTTCTCTTAGTGTGACAACACATCGGAGCTTCCCTCCTGCTCCTGTCTTCAGTTCCTCATCCCATCATCCCCACTTTGCCAGACCCAGCCCTTGCTGACCCAGCTGTTGCCCGCTTCGATGTTCCCCTTCCAATTCAATTTCCCCAATGACTCCATTCTCTCTCCCGTTTCCCTCTCCATCTCTCCCCCCCCTCATCAGGTCATCACGGTCGAGCCGGGGTGCTACTTCATCGACTCTCTCTTCGATCCCGCCCTTGCTGACCCGGCTGTTGCCCGCTTCCTTGCTCCCCTTCTCAATTCGTGCTCCCCAATAACCCCCTTCATATGCTCCCTTCTCACCATCACCAGGTCATCACAGTGGAACCTGGCTGCTATTTCATTGACTCTCCCTTGCTGACCCGGCTGTTGCCCGCTTCCTAGTGCCTGATTCCCCCTTTCCATCCCTCTCTCTCCCCTTCACCATCACCAGGTCATCACAGTCGAGCCAGGCTGCTATTTCATCGACTCCCTGCTTGATCCCGCCCTAGCTGACCCGGCTGTAGCCCGCTTCCTAGTGCCTGAAAGAATTGCTCAGTTCCGAGGCTTTGGCGGTGTGAGGCTGGAAGACGACGTGGTGAGTGGGGGTGGTGTGCGGTAACTGTGGTTTGGGAGTGGCCCAGATTTGAGGCTTTGACCACAAACATCCTCCCTTTCTGCATGTTTCGAATAGGAGCCTCAGACCGAACAACCAAGCAGCCAAACAGCCTGGCCTTCGCATCCTCACTTGTGTGCCTTTCTTTCCCACTTTCCCATTTCAGGTGGTAACAACAGAGGGCATCGATAACCTGACCAGGTGCCCTCGTGACGTGGCTGATGTGGAAGCGGTTATGGCAGGCAAGCCATGGCCTTCTGCTTTGGACGCATTCCAGTGAGAGACTTGCCTTGCCCTGCAGCAATGTAGAATGAGTGGAGACAAAACAGGAAGCAGTTTCGTGGCAGGCAAGCTATGGCCTCCAGTTGCTGCTGTCGTGCTGTTTTTTTATAATCGTCTGGGCAGTACTGGTTTGGCGGTTACACCTTACCAGTAGTTTAGAATTGAATGCCTTGTACAGCACAGTGACAGGAAAAGGGCAGAACTTGATTGTAGAGATGGTGACATTGTAGCGATACAGTAAGACCAGAAAGGCATTTTGGAAGTGTGTGCGGTTGATCAGCTTCTGGTACGGCAGCTCCCGTGTACAGGGATTGTGTAGTTAATAAAGTATCATTTAAGTGATGTACCTACAACCATTCAGCACAATTGAGCTTATAAAGAAGACACAGAACACTAATTTGCTACCGGTAACTGGCCTGGGTCTTGGCCATTAGCCGGAAATTGGTCTGGAATTCCCTGAAAATGGACTATTCTAACAGCACTGTTCTGTGACATGGAGAGCCCCAGAATGTTAGGCACTGTTGGGGTTTCTCAACAGGACGTGCATCAGGACGTTAGGCAGCTCTCAATGGCTCTCCGAATGCCAACTAGCACTGGCAGTGGGGGCTTGAGAAGCTGGGGGAGAGAACGGGAGGGAAGAGGGCAGACACGAGCAGAAGATGCAGGAGCGGAAAGAGGACAGGGAGAGCAGTAGGGAGAGAAAATGAACACGAAGAATGGCTTTGATACATTCCTTACACGAAACACAGGCAACGGCTGGGGATTGTCAACTTTTTTTAGGCGTCTCAAAACTCGAAACTTCCGAGATGAAAACAACGAATGAATTCCTCACTTGAAACACGGGCAGAGGCTGGTCGGAGTCAGCGAGGAGCAGCACGAGGGCGAAGTGGCAGCTGGTGGGAGTGACGATCTCCGTAATGACCGCTGCTGCTATGGTGTCTAGTGGCACGACCTGCCTGTGCACCACTACCCTTGATTGACTATCTAGTGTACTGCAAATACATTTCCTCTTACCCGAAAGACAGGCAGAGGCTGGTCGGAGTCAGCAAGGAGCAGCACGAGGGCGAAGTGGCAGCTGGTGGGAGTGACGATCTCCGTTATGACCGCCACAGCTATGGTGTTTAGCGGCACCAGCTGCCTGTGTACCATGCGTGCTTGACTGTCAGTGCGCTATACAAGCATACCATCCCTTACCCGAAACACAGGGAGAGGCTGGTCGGAGTCAGCAAGGAGCAGCACGAGGGCGAAGTGGCAGCTGGTGGGAGTGACAATCTCAGTTATGACCGCCGCAGCTATGGTGTTTAACGGCACCAGCTGCCGATGCACCACGCGTGGTTGACTTTCCATCATTGCACGGCTGCTGGCGTTGCTGCTGCCGCCGTGACTAGAGGAGTCGAATGAGTGGGGTGTTTTTCCACGGGTGTTGGTGGTCACCTGCGCCACCTCTATTTGCACTCCCAGGCCCTCCACAATCATCACCGTCACTGATGCATGCACGCACAGAGAAAGAAATAGGTGGGGGGTGGGAGGGGTTCGGGGAGTGGGGTAACAAGGTTACGAATGGATTGTGCTGGGCAGTGGTTATCTTATCTTATCTTATCTTATCTTATCTTATCTTATCTTATCTTATCTTATCTGTGCCACCTCTATCTGTACTCCCAGGCCTTCCCCGATCATCACCATCACTCATGCATTGCATGCACGCACCACACAGCGGGGTTGAACGGGTTGAGATTGTGGGAAAAAGGGGGAAGGAAGAGGCCGTTGGGTCGGATGGGGAACGCAAGCGTGTGGGGAGGAACTGACTTTGCTCAACGCACGACTGTGCATGCATATGCAAATACTAAACGGTGCCAGAGGTGGAGATTGGGAAGAGAGACGGAGGAATGGGGGATAGAAGAGTGCGGATGGAGAGAAAAGAACGGCTATTTCAGAGTCGATAAAAAAAATATATATATATATATATAGCAATTTGTAACGACTTGAAGAGCAGAGTAGCTTCACCTTGATGCTTGACGCCTAGTGAAAAGAGTCGGCGCACAACCAGTCTGAGCACGAGAGCCGCTACTAGAACAACCATGGCTGTTCGCACTCCCATGGACGGTTGCTGCGACACCAGACAGAAGACGTCGCAGCGGAGAGAGAAGGGGGGAGAAGGAGTGAAGACGAAGGGGGAGGATTGAAGGAAGAGAAGCGATGGCTTATGGTGCTATGCTACTGGTGGCGCTAGTGCATAGTTCTCAGGTTGCTCATGATGCAATTGGGTCGAGTGCGTAGTGCGTAATAAGGAGGGTCGATGGATCACGGCGTTTGTTTCTGGCTGTTTGTCAATCTTCGGCGGAAAGGAACGGCTTACCGAGGATGATAACGCGACGGCGAGACAGATAACGATAACAGCTACCACTGGCTTCGATATGATGTTAAATGACCATCTGCTCCCTCTTCGGCTCCTGCTGCTGCTGCCGCTGCTACTACCACTCCTGTTACCGCCGTCGTTATCGCCTCTACTACTTGTGACGACATCGTGCTGCGAGTCGTTATTCTCCCGCGACACGGCGTTTGACGCGGAGGTAGCAGGAGGAAGAGGTGAAACGGTGTGCCACTGACAGGAGCCCGAGGGGTCCCTCTCAACCTCGTAGACCCATCTACCGTGAACCTCCGTGCGTCCCATGCCAGGCTGGTTCACAGCACAGGCTGATAGCCAGACTGACTGGTAGGCTTATTTCTCAGGCTAATTACTGGGCTGCTAGTCACTGATTGTTTAAAATGGATCAACGTCAGTAGCAAAAGAACGGAGAGAGAGAGATGCAAGAGAACGGAGGGAGGGACGGAGTTCGAAAGGGTAACTTACCCTTACACTGTACAGAACAATTCAGCAGAACATAGGCTCTTCGTTCGCTTTAGTAACTGATTCGTCGTCAATTTTAAGGCGACCTTCCAATTGACTCGAAATTTAAAAAAATCAAGGCGACACCCGTTTCCCGACTCAGCAGCAAAAGCGTATCTATTTAGGGACAAGATCCGACATGGCAGGCCGCGTCGCTATGTTTTAGGGGTCACGAAAACGGGCAAACGTATCGTCATAGCTTACTGCTCGCGGCCTTCATTCCCGTCAGGATTCACATGTGGGACGACTTTAGAGAACGAGCCTGGTGAACGAGGAAGCCGTACTCGCTGCCTCTTCAGGCCATTGCTGGGAATAACCTGGTGTTTAGGGGCGAGTACGTGTGCCCTGAAACGCAGGCGTCAGGTCATTTTAGACATAATGAAGTAGTGTGAGCTATATTTAATATAACGCCTGAGCAACCGCTTCTCTTTCGCGAGTGTCGCATGGCGTCGCACAGTGGCTCCTCTACCGCCCCGTCACCAGCAGGAGACTCGTCGCAGGCGTCGCCACGACCGTCGCTACAACCATCCATACAGCCGCGTTCGCGACGAATCGGCGACCTTGCGACGGAGGGCGACGTTCGCAGCCGCGTGAAGTGGCTGAATCCGGAGGCGTACGGCGCGGGCGAGCTGGTCGTCGTCCGTCGCAGCACGGACGAATGGCGATACGCCGAAGTCGTTAGCGTCGCACAGGACGGCGTGCAACTGCGCGTCGGTCCGGGATTAACTAAAGACGTCGCGACGCGGCTCCTAGGAACGCACGTCGGGAAGCTTCCAGGCAGCAGCAGCGTCTTCGGCGTCATCCCCGTTACAGGAGCGCGAGGCAGGGTTTCGTTATCACTATCTTCACGTTCTTTTGGCATTATCAGTACGAGCAACGAAGCAGCAGCATTGGCAGTAGCAGAAGCAGCAGCACCAGCAGCACCAGCAGCAGGAACAGGAGCAGGAGCATCAGCAGGAGAATCATCGGCATCATCAACTTTACCAGCAGAAGCAGCAGACGAAGCAGCAGAAGCAGCAAGAGCAGCTGCTTCGTCTGAGGATGCAGCATCGGCAGCAGCAGTGATTGCAGAGTGGAGACGGTCAGCTCAGCAGGGTCCTGTCGCAACTACCGTTGCCACTGCCACCGCTGCCAGCCCCACTGTTGCCACAACTACCGCCACTGTCGCCACCATCACAGGTGCTAGTGCTGCAACGGCTGCAACAGCTGCAAGTGCGGCTGCTGCCAACCCTGCTGCTGCAGTCACCGCTACATCCTCGCGTGCTGCCGCCGCTGAAAGCACTGCTGCCAGGGCCACTGCTATTGCAACCTCAGCCACGCACACCAGTATTGCTGCTTCTGTTACCGCCGCGACAGTGTCTTTACTTCACACAGCTGCTGCTGCTGCTGCTACCCCCGCTTCGACTGCTGTCTCTGCTGCCTCTGCTCCCTCTTCAGCCTCAGCTCCATTGCCAACAATACCAGGACCTTTTGCCGAGCCTGCCTATGATGCAACCCGAACGTCTTTGCATGCTCGAGCGTCCCCACAAACCCTAACGACCTCGCACTCCCCACGGTCTCCTCGTGGTTCAATCCAGCCCACCCCCCAACCCTCCTCCCAGCAACCAGCCTTGCAACAACCCGCCTTACAACAGCCTTTCGTGCAACAACCTACTCTCCAGCACCCAAATTCCTCCTCCCAAACCTCTACCCAACCCTCCTCCCAAACCTTCCCCCGAACCTCCTCCGAGCCCACCTCCCGAGCCTCCGACCAAGCCTCTCCCAAGCCTGCTCCGTGCAACGAAGGCAAGGCTCTGCTACCATGGCAAACCGAGGACTGCCCTATCTGCCTGGAAGCCATGGTTAGAGGCAGGGCGTTATACGCCCCTGAGTGCGGCCACTTGTGCCATTTCGACTGCATTCGCGAAAACGTTCGCCACGGGAACTTGTGCTGCCCGCTCTGCCGCTTCCCCCTCCAGGAACGCCCCATCGTCGATCTTTTCCGCGTCGAAAACGATGGGGTTTCCGCGAGCGGGTAGTCCCAGGTTGGGGGATAGAAGGGGGGGATTGTTCGGTTTGGGGGAAGATGTGGATGCGCTGGGAGGGGGAGAGGGGAGGGGGCGGGAAGGGGGAGGCGGGGAAGGGGGAGGGGGAGGGGGTTTGGCGCAAGGGGGAGTGTGGGGGCACCAGAGGCGGGACCTGCAGCGAGCAAGGAATCACATCGCGGAACAGAGGGCTGTGGCGCTGCAACTGGTATGAGTCATGATGGCTGCGCCTGCGCCTCTCACATGTGCTGCTGCTGCTGCTGCTGCTGCCTCCGTCGCTGCTGATGAATTTGAATTCTGAGCAATAAAGAGAACTGCCGCGTCACCTTTTCCACCTCCCACCCCTCTATGGTCCACCCTTCCCTACCCCACCCCAACCACCCTCCCTCCCCTTTCCCCCTTTCTTCCTCTTATCTCCCCTGACGAGCAGATGGCGGCAGCGGAGGAGCGCATTGCGCTGGTCAGAGCAGCCCACGCGGAGGTGCATTCTCACGTGTTTTGAGTTGACTCAAAACTTCCCCTTCCACCCCCCCTCTTCTTCACTATCAGATGGCGGCAGCGGAGGAGCGCATTGCGCTGGTCAGAGCAGCCCACGCAGAGGTGCATTCGCACGTGCGCCTAGCGCAGCAGCTAGTACAGAGGATATCCAACAGGCGGTGAGTTGCATGTGCATGTAACAGTGACACAGCACAATCAGAGCCATTACAAGCCCTCCAATATCCTCTTTTCCAACACCCCAAACCCCCCCCCTCCCCTCCCCTCCTCCCCGTGCTTCCCCCCTTAACATCTCCCTCCCTTGCTGGCCTTGCTGCCTTCGCTGTTCCATCCCACAGGCAGCGAGCGCTAGGAGACAACCTTCGCTACTCACTCTCCCCGACCCTCTCCTCCTCAACCCCTCCACCTCCTCCCATCTCCCTCCCCTCCCTCTCCCTCTCCACCTCCTCCAATCCCACAATCCCTATCCCCTCCTCTTCCTCCTCCCTCTCCTCCTCTTCCTCCTCCCTCTCCTCCTCTTCCTCCTCCCCAGCTCTCCGCCGCACGTTGGCCCTTGCAGTTGCCGCTGCAGCAGCAGACGATGCTTACACCCCCCTGCCATCTCGCCTCATCCCTTCTTCAGTCCCCTCCCGTCCGCCCCTGCCCTCTCTCTCTTCCCTCTCGTCTATCTACCCCCATCGCTACCACCCAACCACCCCACTTTCCATGTCTGGTCCTGTTCCCCTCCTTGCACACTCCACCCTTTCCTCCTCCTCCTCCTCCTCCTCCTCCTCCTCCTCCTCCTCCTCCTCCTCCTCCTCCTCCTCCTCCTCCTCCTCCTCCTCCTCCTCCTCCTCCTCCCTACTCTCTCTGCCTCTCCCCCCACTCTCTCGCACTCTTCACACACTCAGTGCTGCTCCAGCTGCTGTTGCTGTTCCTCGTCCTCTCCCTCCTGCTGCGTCAGCCTCTACTCCTATTACGGCAACCTCGTCACCTATCCCTGCTGCTTCGTCACCCATCTCTGTCAGTGAAACAACCGCTGCTGCTGCTACCACCACCTCTGCTACGCTCTCTCCTCCCTCTTCCTCCCTCCCCTCCTCTTCCACTGCCCGTTCTTCTCTTCCCGCTTCTGCCGTCGCCCCTTTGTCCCGTCCGTTCCGCTTCTCTGGCCGTTTCTCCTCTCTTTCCTCCTCCCTCTCCTCCTCTCTCTCCTCCCCACTTGAACTGCCACTGTCTCCCCCTCGCAACAGCTCAGGTTCAACTGCCACTCACAGTGCTGCCAGTGCAGCAGCCCATGCAAGGATAAGCACTGCAGACAGCAGCATCAGCAGCAGCAGCAGCAGCAGGCCGAATGCTGCTACCAGTGCAGAATCCCATGCAAGGATCAGCATCGCAGGAAGTAGCAGCAGCAGTAGGCCCAGTGCTGCCACCAGTGCTGCAGCAGCCGCTCCGAGCACTGACACCAAAGGCAGCAGCAGCAGACCTAATGCTGCTGCCAGTGCAGCAGCCACTAGGAACAGCAGCACAGGCACAGACAACCTCAGTGATGCGAATCCAGGCCTTGGCTCAAGCTCCCACGCTGCTGGGTGCTCTGTGGGAAGGGTGACTGTTGCGGTAGGAAATGCTGTGAGGGAGGTTAGCAGCAGGGGCGCGCATGCAGAGAGGAGCGGCGTGGCTGATGGTGGTGCTACCGCTGGCAGCAAGGGTACTGGGGGTGAAGGCTGCGGCAGCAATGGTGGTAGCAGCAGTGGCAGTGGTGGCAGCACTAGCAACGGCGGTGGCACCAGTGGCAGCGGTGGTGGCAGCGTTGGTGGTGGCGTCAGTGGTGGAGTGAGGCAGAGAGGGCAGTACCCTTGGCAGGTGGAGAGGATTCTTGAGAGAAACAGACAGATGCGGCTGAAGCAGCAGCAGCAGCAGCAGCAACAGCAACAACAACAGCAGCAGCAACAGCAACAGCAGCAGCAGGGGGAGGAGGAGGAGGAACAGGGAGGGTGGCAGCAGGCACAGCAAATCTGTCAGGAGGCGCAGGTAGGGCAGCAACAGCATGAAGAACAGCAGGAGCAGCAGTCTGGATTGGACTATGATAGAGAAAGAGAGGAAGAGGCAGAGGGCTTTGTTCAAACGGACGAGTATGTGACAGGTGGCAGCAGCGGATTGGCTGACGACCTGCAGGTGGACCTGCTGCCAGCGGGAGCATCTTCTGGGGGAGGTACATCTGGCAGGGCGGCAAGGGGGAGGTTACAACTGAGCAGAATGCAGAGAGATGGGACGAGTGGGAACACAAGGGGAGGGCGAAGGGGGGATGTGGAGAGGAGGGAGAGAGGGGAGGAAAGGGTATTGCAGAGGGGGAGGGGATTCAGGAGAGCGAAGAGTGAGGATGGGGAGAGAGTGCTTGGGGAACAGGAGGGCAGGCAGAGGGGTGTGAGGGAGAGGCTGGAGCAGAGGTTGGAACAGAGGTTGGAAGAGAGGTTAAATGCGGTGGGAATGGGAGAGGGGGTTTTAGCAATGGTGTTGTTGCTGGGAGTAGCACTACCAGTAGTTTAAGTGACAGGAGGAGGAGTGTGAGCAGCAGTGTCGGGGGAAGCAGCTGTAATGTTGGGAGGAGGGAAAGGAGGGCGATATATGAGAGGAGGCTTGGGAGAGTGGAGGCAGAATATGGGAACCAAGGCTCAGTGGATGGGAGTCGACTTGTGGAATTGCAGGAGGAGCAGGAGGAGGAGCAGGAGGAGGAGGGGCGGTGGCAGCAGCAGCAGCAGCAGCAGCAAGGGGAGGGAGAGGAGGAGCAGGGTGAGCAGGAGCAGCAGCTGCTGCAGCTTGAGGAGCAAATGCACCTGCAAGAGGAGTTGCAGAGTCAGTTAGAGGAGGAGGAGTTACAGGTGCAGGATCTGTTACGGTTACAAGAGCAGCATCAGCTGCATCAACAGTTACAAGTGCAGGAACAGTTGCAGGTGGAGGAGCAGCTTCAGTTCCACGAGCAGTTACAACTCGGGTTACAGGAACAGTTACAACTGCATGGGCAGATTCAGATGGGGACGGTAATGCAGACGGAGCAGCAAGAGCAGTTACAGGAGGCAGGGTCTTTACAGGGTGGTTATGAAGTGGAACTGGAGCAACAGTTACTTTGTGACGAGGAGTTACAACTTCCAGACGAGTCACAGTTACAACTGCAGGACGAGTTACAGTTACACCTGCAGGACGAGTTACAGTTACAGCAGCAGCTGGAGCAAAGAGAGATGGAGGCGTTACATGTGCAGTTTGAAGAGGGGATGCAGCAAGAGGTACGGTTTCATGAGCAGTTACAACTTGAGGAGGAGTTACAGTTACAACAGCAGCTGGAGGAGGAACAGCTGTTGCAGCAGCAGTTGCAGGAGGGTCAGCAGTTGCTGTTGCTACAGCAGGAGCAGCAGCAGCAGGAGGAGGAGGAGGAGGCAGCGCAACAGCATTTGCAAGAAGGTCAACACCTGTTGCTGCACCTGCAACAGCAGCAGCAGGAGGAGGAGGAGGCAGAGGAGCGATTGCAGGAAGAACTACAAGAGCAGCTTCAGCTGCTGCAGCAGCACCAGCTACAGCAGGAGCAAGAGCATCAGCAGGAGGAGGAGCAGCAGCAAGAGCAATACGCAGATCAAGCACAGGGGCCAGCACAAGCAAATGCAGAGGCAGAGGCACGGGGAGGTAATGACCCTTCTGCATACAACGGCAATGACAACAGCAGCAGCAACAGAAGCAGACTGGGTTTGGGAAGCCAAGCAGCACCAGCAGCAGCAGCAGCAGCACCAGTGGGATTCTGGGACAAACGACACAGGGAGCGACATGGAGACCAGAGAGGAGCCTAGGATCACAGGGAACTGCGGGAAGAAGGGAGCAGATGGAGCAGAGAGAGCAGAGAGGTGTTCCAAGGCTCGGCAACAGGAGAGGCTCGGCGCCGAGGCTGCTAGGTGTGTACAGGAGGCACGGGAGGGAGGACCGGCATCGGCTGGAGGAGCTGACAGAGAATCTGGAGGATGGGGAGGGTACTCTGTCTGGTATCACTATTGATGTTCCTCCTGGCGGAGATGACTATAACGAAGGGGACTACAGTGCTGAGAACGCTGGTGATAGCAACAGCAGCGGTATGGGGTATGCTGGTCCTGCGTGGTTACCCGGTCAGATTCTCCAGAATCAAATCGGCGGGGAGCAGAGGTCGTTTGATGCGCAACATGGTGTGCGTATGAGAAGGGCCGGCAGTATAGGCAACCACAGCAGCACCCACAGCGTCAGCCACAGCAGTCATAGTAGCGGCAACAGGAGCAGCAGAAGCAGCAACAGGCGAGCCGGGTCCAGTAGAGCCTCCCCTCGAATCATAACTGCTTCAGAAGGGCCCCGATACAACCTCCACCCTGAGAACCTCCCCCAGTTCAACCTCCCCCTCTCCCACAGCGAGGGCTCAGGCCCCGCGTTGACTCTCAGGGGTACTGAGGGGTACGCAGGGGTACCGGTCTATGTGGATGGTCTTGGTATGATGGGACTGGATAGTGGGCTGATGGGTGGTGTGGTTGGTGCTATGGGTGGTGCCATGGGTAGTGAGATGGATGGGGACACGGATGGGAATGGGGTGGTGGAAGGGTCAGGGTCGGTGGACTTTGGAGCAGGTTTGAGGCGTTTTCCATCGGGATTGGAGGGACTGGAGGGGGTTGGGTCTGCGGGTGTGGAGATTCGTGGGTTGGGAGCGGTGGTGAGCGGTGGAGCGGGGCGGGTGGAGGAGGAGGATGTGGAGGCGGAGCTGCTGGCGATGGAAGCAGCGGTTGAGTTCAACGTGAGGGTGGTGACATGTCAGGGGTCCCCTGTGCGCTGGCACAACTGCCACGTGTGCGTGCGGCCCAATGCGGTGCTGCTGGATGCAGCTGGGTGCATTGTGGTGGACGGGAGGGAGCTTCATGCACAAGACGGCACTCCGGTGAGGCTTGGTGTTTCTTGTGTCAGCATTGTGTCAACATTGTGTCAACGTTGTGTCAACATTGTGTTAACGTTGTGTCAACATTGTGTCAGTGCCTCAACATCATCATGTCATCTGCCCTTTGCTCACCCTCACTTCCCTTCCTCCTCCATTTTCTCAATGCACTCATCGACTTCTCTCCCTCGTTGCTACACCTCTCCTTCGTCTCTCGACCTCATGCCTGTCCCCATCTCTCTCCCACTTCCCCTCGTCCACGCACAGGTGGTATTGGAGGAGCAGGGAGAGTCCCTAATCCACGCACTCATCGACTTCTCCCCACCTCTGCTGCACCTCTCCTTCATCCATTACTCTCTCCTCCTCACATGCCCCCACCCTCTCTTCTTTTGCACGCAGGCTGTTTTAGAGGAGCAGGGCGAGTCTCTGATCCACGCAGTCATCGACTTTTCTCCGCCTCTGCTGCACCTCTCCTTCATCCACGCGTTTCTCGACCTCGACCCGCGGGCTGTGGTGCTGCAAGAAACCGCTGTGAGGGTGAATCGATGGCTGAGCGATCGCCAGAACCAGCACGAAGTGATTGCACGGTTCCTCACTTGCGATAGGCGGTTATGATGATGAGTTGTTGCCGATCCGTGTTGTGCCGCTTGGCTCAGACCTTGATCCGCGGGCCGTGGTGCTGCGAGAAACGGGAGTGCGGGTCAACCAATGGCAGGCTGGCTGGGTGAGTGACTGGCAGAACCAGCATGAAGTCATTGCATGGTTCCTCACTTGTGATCGCCGATTGTGATTGAAAGATGGCTTGGAACTGTTACTGGTAGTGTTATGCATCAGCAGCACTGCAGGCTGTGGTGCTGCAAGGAGAAATGGGTGGCTGTGAA